TCCCCTAAAAATTCCTCTAAAAAAAAAAAATCCTCTAAAAAAAGCTAAACTTGCCCGCCTCCTCCTCTTGCCAGGTTCAGATGGGATCCAGAACAGCTCTGCTTTTCCCGCAGAGCCACTGACAGAAGCTGGAATTCGGAGTCATAAAAAGAATTTGGATGGATGTAATTTATCAGCTTTGAAGTAATTTTAACAGGATTTTAAAAGACACGCAGAGTAGGTTGAAAGAATTAATAGTTTATTTTGCGCAGCATAAAAGTTTTTTTTTTTTTTTACATACTGTTTATCTGAAAATGGCATGAAAGTACAAAGTAYCAATTTTTTGAAAATTGAGTAATGAGGCTTGACAGTAAGTGGGATAGAGATCTTAACATAACCTGAAGATTGAATTAGAAAGACTATTCCCCTTTTTTCAGTTTTGATCCCATTTTCTTTTCAGTCAATGTTAAAAACRTTGTCTAATAAGAAAAAAAAAMCCAAACCAACAAAAACAAAYCAAAAGAGGTGAAGAAATGCCTCTACAAGATGGAATACTTTCCCTAATGGTGAAATCTTTCCCACACTTCCTAAATAATTACCAARTAACAGTTAATGTAGTGTTAAAAGCTTTAAAAGATCTCTGCATCTCCATATAAAATTTGCAATTAAAAAAATGAACTGCCTGTTTCAGATAAGTCTTAAACACTGAACTTTGTATAATTTATGCACACATACAGAGCATTGGCTACCAAAGCAAATTTTTTTTTCCCAGCACATATTACAGTAATCCTCACCTTTGTGCTATCAAGAAATTGTCAGTTGTCTTTTTATTTCTCTTCAACATTCTCAATTTTTTTTTTAAGCACAKAATTTTCCAAAGGACAACCCTGTTACAAATACAGCCATTCAAACATTCAGCACTATAATCCCTCTCTGAAAACTCAGGAATGAACGGGCCCTTTTCAGGTTCGACTTGGCCCTGTGAAAATTTCCCTCGTCAAAGGGGGATGGAATGGGAGGATTGTCATCAACAAGGTCATTTATTGAGGTGTTTTGTCTAAATACACATTGTTGTAAAATCAGAGCAAACTCAGTTGCTCAACTGGAGTCGGTGTTAGGACAAAAAATGTTATGGAAGAAGCTGTCACCTGCTTAAGGAACAGCTCCTTGTGGTCCTCCTCTCCACCCCTGAACTTCCTGAGGACAGAGAAAAAGGAGAATGTACAGGACCAGGGAGTATTTCCAGGTGGGAAGTGAAAGAAATCCAGGGAATGCAGTCAATGCACAAAGGAGTTCTTGGCACACAGTAAAATTTAGGGAGCATTGGCACAGGTAAAGTTTTGGCTCCAATTCTTCTAAATGGCACTGCAAGTTTTTCAACCTAGAGTTATTTTCTAAAGTGTTAGTAACTGCTTTAAAACCAGTCTGTGAATGCTAAACAAGAAAGAGGTAGCTTTTGTTGGAAGGCTGAATTTGGAAAATGGAAGTTTTTAGCTATTAGAAACTTCTGTTTTATGGGAGAGGGAGCGTGTGAACAGTGCAGAAGAAAATCAGAAAAATAAGATTTACAATCAGTGGATTAGAGGGGCAGCAACTATATTAAAATGTATTTCTTTTAAGTGATTACTATAAATTAAAAAAAAAAAAAAGGGAACTGTTATTGAGGGCTACTTCTTTTTAAATTCTGAAAATTACCTTCTGTCTTTTACTTTTTGGCTAGCTTCAAAGAAATTCTGCCTGTGCCTTCATAGTCTAATCTAAAATTCTCATTTTTWAAAAAAAATATTATGACCATAAAGATCCAGCCAAATGCAAATTGTTCCTATATAACCACTGCACAGCCCCTGATGTGAGCATGTTTTATGAACTCCTGTCCTGTTGCTGACCAAGAGGCCACTGCTGGGGGTGAGAACCAGACTTGTGTGTGCACTGTTCTGTGGAGAGGGGAATATTCAGCAGCTGGGCAATGGTTCTGCCCAAAGGTGATCGTGCCCCTTGTCGTCCTGTGAGTGAATAATTCCCAGCAGCACCACAGGCAYCTTGGAGCGCTGCTTTCCAAAATATTCTGACAAATGGACCCTTGCTAAAGAAAACGGGGCCTGACTGATGTTACACCTTCTCAGCAGCTGCCATCACTCTCATTTTGCTCTTCCAAGGAGCCTCAGCCTTGCTCTGGAAGCCTGTGGGACACTCARTCATTCCACCTCTGCCCATTTCACGCCACCAGCAGCTCCAGCTCCTTGGTCAGGCAGTGAAAGTTGTAGCAGTGGATTTTGTGTTTTGGATCCATCTCACCCAGGGGTTTGCTGAAACCAACAACTGCATTTCTGTATTTCTCTAAAGAGCCATAACTATGATGCTGGGACACTCCATGCCTGGATTAGCATCAATGATTAGCATTGAATTAGGACTCAAAAGCCAGCAAATCTAACTGGTTCAGAAGATTGCTCATAACCCATTACCAACTTGTCTTCACTTCTCTCAACAGCAACAAGGATTTCAGCAGCCAGAAATGAACATTTTATCCATCAGAGAGTCAAGTTTGACTGGAGTTAATATCTTTGTAAAAAGTACAGCTCTTTGTGAAAAGGATCAATCTGCTAAGCTYTTGCAATTTTTAATGAAGCTGAAGGTATCCTATTTATATTTCTTTCCACAATTTCCTTTATTTGCAACTCCATAGGTCATAGTACCAACACCCTTCCTTACACAGCTCGAATTTCTATTTATATTCTCGTCTGAGATGAGGATATGACAACCAACCAGCCTGGTTGTCAGAAACCTCTACAGAAATTCAAGGAAACTCCCAGCAGCACAATAATTTTGTAATACTGGAAAATTTAAGGTCCTCTCTCCCTCTCTCTGCAAATGTGATGTTAAAGCAACTCTCACAAGCCTTTTARTATTTTGAAGGGAAAGGCTGGTAGACAAATGGCTCATCCTTCAGTGAAAACAAAGCCAGAAAATGCACAAGGAATTGGGTAGGGGACTCACAGGATGACTTTAGTTGATAAATTTAACAGTTATTGACCACAAGAGATACCAAACCCCCTTAATACATTGCATTTAGGTTGATCCCACATGCACATCCTAAACAATCCTTCACCTTAAAAATGGAACAATCCCTTCTACCTAACTTCTTTTACAGCATCTGAACAACAAGGCTTATTAAAATGCTTCATCTATTTCCTCAGCATTTAAATCGAGCCAAAAAGCCCACGATACTATTTCTAAAACTTGCAAAGGCAGTGGGATAGAATTAACCTATTCCCGGGGCTGGGCTCAGGTTTAACCACTTGAACTCAGATCACRCCCCCTGAAACCCCTGGGGATGGCACCGATGGTATCAAATTACCCGCAAGGCTGCAGCCAGGGGCACGCAGCTTCCGGAGGGTTTCCTGGGACATTYACATCAGCAAGAAATATTGATACGTGTACAAGGGATGGTTTGGAGTGCTGTGATTTGGAGCATCCTGTCTTCCATAATAAATAAGATGATATTTTTCTTTGTTTCTATTCTCAACGCTGCTTTTTCTTTTTTGTGCCACTTTCCGTTTTTTTTTAGGTGTAGTTTATTCTCATATCTTAAGTTGGACAACAGGAGCATAAAATATCTCACAACATATGTATTTTTAAAAATATAATCAGGGAAAGAGATCACTCTGAGTTACCAAGTGACTACACTTGGTTATACTGCAGTCTATCACCGTGTTTCATCTTCCACACGAAACTGCTCAAGAACATTATTTTTCTTAATGTGTTGTAGACTAAAAATGAACCCTCAAGGGTTTCTATCGCTCTCCTCGTTGCCAGAGCAACAAAGCAATGCTCACCTGARTATCTGCCAGTGTAAGTTATCAGTTTACAAGCCCAGATGAAGTTGGTGCTGCTCGCAGGTGTCACTCAAGGCATTTTTACTACAAGCCACGTTTTTAGTGTGGAGGAATGCCAGGAAAACTCAAGAATATGTAASTATTTCATTTGTGCAGCCTGGTTATTGCTCCTCTAATTCAAGTGTTTCTCTTGAAATATCTTGACCAAGGGCATTCAGAGGGAAAGGATAACACTTAAATCTTTTATATGAAATCCAGTGCATTGAGAAGACTTTGTTCACCAACTCAGAAGAAATCTCAGTTGTCATTAAAAAGCCTACTCAGAACCTTTCCCAATAAATTCCTTCCTAAATTCTCTTTGTGGTGAGGAGATAGGATGTTCTGGGGTGAGGGGAGCACCCCTCATGGTGAAACTTTTTAAGAGCATACAAGTTGTTTTTACTTTCTGAATYGAAAGAGGGTTTATTGTTTAACACTGTATTCATCCAAAATCCATACTGTGTTTCTGTTTGAAAGAAGTGCCAGAAGCATAATTTCTATTGCCATACTGTAGAAAAAGCAGGAATACAACTCTGAAGTTGTTATGTGTAAGACCAAACCCAGGAGGATGAGGTGGAACTCAAAATTATAATTAAAAGATATTAAGAAAGAGATAGTGAAAATATTASACTGAGAAAACAGCTAAGCTCTATGGCTTATTTAACGTAATTCACAATTCTTCTCCTCTTAAACATTAAGAGGCAGAGGAAGGAGACAAATTCAACATTCCCTCCTGTTTCCAACTCCAAATTCCAYGAGAAGTAATTTTCAAACACTGGATCACAGCATCAATTATTTTTCTCTGTTGAGCCAAACAATCTGAAAGTGCAAGAATTGAAAACCACAGGCACTTCCAGTCATGATGTGAACGACACAGGTTAGCTACAAAAAAACCCGACAGTGTTTTATTTTCACACACATGACATGCACCTCTGTAAATGCACCATTCCTGGGGGGAGGGAAAAAAAGTCTTTCCTTATTCSATGCAGAGTCAGATGCAGAGGCAGTGTGAATCAGAGAGCTGTATGAAGGGATTTTGGGCAGAAAGTTGTCTAGGCAAGGGATTGGGAAATTCAGAGCTAAGTTGCTTTTTTTTTTTTTTTCCTCATTTCCCACACAGATATGTAAACTGCTCTGCTATCAAAATGCAAAAGAGTATTTTTTCATTTTAATTTTTAAAATTTATTTTAAAAAATCCTCAATCTTGCATTCTTTATCTTTCCAATTCAAACACTTAGGCCAGTGTTACAGAGAAGCCATGGAGGTCCTGCAGCTGGAGAAAATAAAGAAAAATTGTCCTATCTGCCAGGAAAACACCTCATTCTGACCTCAGCATTATGGTCTGCCCTCGCAGAATGGAAGCCTGGTCAAATATATAAATACATTTGCCCTGCTCTCTCCCACTACTGTTTCCAGTCCCACCCCACGTTTTTTTTCAGCCAGGCTGGACACACACAGAGTTTTAATTTGATTGACAMCGTGGTGAAGCCAAACCGAACACCTCCGACTGCTGCTCAAGCTGAAAAACAAGCCAGCATAAAGACTTGCACTTCACAGCCTGTCCACAAAGACAGACACTTCTCCCTTGAATTTCTAGGTTGCTGAGCTCAGCTAAATTTAAAAAACAGGGTTGTCTTTCTTATTTTGTTTTCTTTTTGTTACATGCTCGCTAGAAATATAGCAGAACACAGACCTTGCTTTCTTGTCTGTCCATACATACGCAGATCAGCCTTTTCTAAATATCAGTCAAACTCAAAAAAAAAAAAAAAAAACAACAAACCCCACATGTGGGAGGAAACTGAAAGGGTTTTTTTTGTTGTTGTTTTTTTTTGTGCACCAGAGTGGAAAGACATGAAGTACTGATTTTTATAAAATCCAAAAAATTCAAAGCCAAGCAGTTCCATTTGGTTGTATGGAGCATCTTTGTGCTTTAAGACCAATTCTAATCCACACACTCATCAGTGGTAGCATCCTTGGAAATTAAGAGAGGTAGTCTTGTTTTTCTCTAAGGCTGAACAAGTTTGTTTCCCAGTTTTCACCACTTTTGGACTATTTTGTTACAACTCTCGGGGAGGGTGACCCTCTCGAGTGGCAGCAGTGATCTTGAGGAAAARAAACCACAAACCAACATTTCTTCTCAATCTCACTTGCTTTTCCTCAGCTGCTTAAGTCTGACTTTTCTCCCTCCCCCGCACCATAAGCAGTTTCAAAATAAACTGATGTAAACAGAAAGCAGTATTCATTTAATGCAATTAATAAGAAAGATTATTAATTTTTTTTTCTCTTTTTCTACAGTCAGGGCTCGATTAGTTAGAAAATACTGACAGCTCCTTTTTTTTTTTGTGAAAGCGAGATTGACAATTTTGTTCAGACAGTGGAAGAACGTCACGGTGTGGTTTTTATCTTTTTAAAACTTTTTTGATTTTTTTTTTTTTTTTAAAGAAGGTACTGTGGAGAGCATAAAGGCTCATTGTACTGCAGTAGCAAATCCAGTACCGTAGCACTTCAGAGGTGGTTAACAGTGCTTTGGTTGAGAACCGGTGTTAGAAAATAAAGCTATAAAAGTCACGACGCAGGGTATTTGGTGGGATCTTCAACAGCAGTTTGTAGAGAGGACTGAGGAGGCGTTGGCTTCTTCCCCTTGGCAGAGTTCTTTGTTCTTGGTCCCGTTTCCAGTCTCAGTTTTCGGGATGCAGCCCCTCATTTCCAGCGGTGGCGCACCAGGGACGACTCGTCGTTGACCACGTCGTTGTCGGTGTAGCGGTGCTGGCAGCGGGGCGGGATGAGCAGCAGCACGATCAGCACCAGCAGGATGAGCCCACACAGGCTCATCAGGGCGTACGAGGCGATCCACAGCACCGGCTCGTGCACAGACACGCTGGACACGCAGTTGCTGGCCACGTCCGCCGTCGTGAAAGGGCCTTCGATCTCGGACACGGGGGAGCCGTCAACCTCTGCGGAGGGCAGGAAGGAAATGATGAGCTCTACAGACACCATTTAATAAATACTCGTGTATCCCTCTCTCATCTCAGCACACTCGTGTTTCTCATTGCAATAAAAATGCAAGAATCCCATGTTTATAAAAGGGACTCAAGCAGAAGGAGACCGTGACTCTCCCCCATCTCCACAGGCTGTCTAGCAGAGAACAGACATTTCAATCACTCAAAGCCCAAACCACTGGATCACTTTACTCCTTCTGGACTTTCAGAAATATCCATTTAAATATCCTACAACAACATTTATTGAAATATCCTACAACAATCCTACCCTGGCGCAGGGCAGGGCCTGGGCAGTTTTTCATTTTTTTCTGGCATTTCCAACAACTAGAAAAGCACCCTGGGTGATTCCTTCTTCTTTTGCATCTGCTGTCTTCTTAGGGAGCAGCATGAAGGTTCATCARCTTCACAGTAACTTAAAGGACTTTATCCTAAACACGAGGTGCAGCGTGGAAAGCAGCACAAACACTCTCGTGGGTGAAAATCCAGAAGGAAGGGGAGGTGAGAAAGGAGAGCTGGGTGACAGCTGTCCATGAAAGGGGAGTGCAGGAGAGGATGGTCAGTGTCAGGAGAGAAAGCTCAGTGTCAGGAGAGGATGGTCAGTGTCAGGAGAGGATGGTCAGTGTCAGGAGAGGATGGGAGAGGATGGTCAGTGAGAGGAGAGGAAGGTCAGTGAGAGGAGAGGATGGTCAGTGTCCGGAGTGAGGAGCAGGGACATGGAAGAGCAATAGTGTTGGGCAGGGATAACTCACCCAGCAGCTCTGAAAATGATGACAAAGTTAAGGCAAGAAGCAGCTGCAATTCTCTTCTCTAGTCAGCCACTTCCCAGGCACATAGTGAGAATTTTTTTTTATAGAGGTCCTAATTTTAAGGCCTGTCCTGCTCAATTTCTCACACATTTTCTATACAGGCACACTCTTGCCCGATTGGAAGTGATCTCATCTACTAAAACCACATCTCGTTTTCRCATATCTTAGTCACGACTGCTGGAACCACGTTCAAAGAGATTACCATAAAATATCCCTTGRAAAGAAGAAGGGAGCCTGGATTTTGCAAAGGCAGGGAGGAGGACTTTAAGGTTCTTTGTGGACAAAAAAAAAATGCAGAATAGGTTGGTTGCTTTACCTGTACAGATTTGAGTTGCCAGTCAGTCCCTGGCCTCAAAAGACCTGGTATTATTTTAAGACTTAGGTTTTGTTAGACTTAATTGTGGGCTGGTGTTAAAAGGGACAATCGTGCGCCCTCACTCCTGTCCCTCACAGCCCCTTCTGTGTTGGTGAGGGAATGGGAGGCTGCAACTCACAGATCAGATGGAAAACCAACCTTCAAAACAAGTGAAATGCCCAAACAAGGAATTTTCAGTGGAAACCACTCATCTGAGCCGAGCCCTTCTCCACCCCTAAGTGTGGGAAGGCTCCTTTAACTGAAATGCGCYGTGAGAGCAAACTGGGGGAACCCGAGGCTGCCCCCACAGGGACCCTGACACTGGTGAATAACCAAACACCCACTCCCTAAACTCATCAGATAGCAAAAGACTGCCTGGAAGGTCTGTGGCAAAAATCCTTTATGTCCAGAACCCCAGGATTGCACTTTGTCTGCTGTGCAATTGGTTCTTCTGGACATTTCACCCCCTCACACCGTTTGTTTTGTCTCTATCAAAGTTCTGCAGTAGCACCAAACTCAACCACATTTGAATTTGTAATGTAAGGCCTAAGAATCATTACTTAGTAGTGTTTTGAAGAAGCRGGAGAGAAGAAAAAGCAGTGCAATTTTCCACCTTGGAAATAGCTTTGAAAATAAACAGTCTCTAATTACTCATTATTTGGCTAGAGAACAATAATTACTCCTATTAAAAAAGACAACACARAACTGTTGCCATAGTGGCTGACATTTTAAATTGCATTTTGAGAATGCTTGATAACAGCACAGCCTCTGCTTTCTTCCCTCCAAAAGGAAAAAAAAGTTTTCCCTCACACTCTTCCACCCCCAGAGAAACTGAGAGGAAATTTGCGTAAATTGTTCAAAGAAGCCCTTAACATAAACTAACAGTGACACACACTCAGCACATTATACATTAACTGAATTAGAGTGTTTTGGTGTATTATTTTAGAATATCTGGTGGTACCTACCCACAATACTGTTATGACCTTGAATAAATGAGATTTTCTTCATTGTTGATGATCACAGGCCAAAAAAGACGACTCTAGAAAAGTGCTATTTTCTAATCTTTGTATAGAACTCAAGACACTCAYACTACCTAAACTAGGGGGATTTGCAAAGGAAGTAAACCTGGAATTAGATCAAATTCATAATAAAATTGTAAAGTACAGCTTGGAAGGTGCCCCTGGAAGTCTCCTAGTCCAGGATCCTACTCAGGAGCAGAACTGTCAGATCAATAGATCAGTTCTGCTGCAGATTTATCCAGCCAGGCCTTGTAAAACCCTGAGGATGGGGACCCTGTTTCAGAGCTGTATCACCGTCCTGGTGAAGAAAAAACTCCTCATATCCAACATTCCTGAATGTCCCTGGTGCGTGTTGCTCTTTGTTGTATAACTTCACTTTCACTTGGCTTSCATTCAGCTCAGGGCCTACCAAAACCCCAGCTCTTTTCCTGAAGGGCTACTCTTTTTTTTTCCTTGTATTTTTTTTTTTAAATTTGTTGGGGTTGGAAGGGACCCTAAATATTATCTAATTTTAAGATAAATAACAGGCAGGGAATTTTTCCATTAGACCAGGCTGTTCAAAGCCTTGACCAGCCTGGCTGTGAACATTTCCAGGTTGCTTTGCTAAAACCAACTCGTTGATCTGAACATCCTGGCTCATCCTGGGACCCAATCCAAAACCTGTCCTAGTCATCCTGTAAACAGTAGGTTATCAACGGGCAACTTGAAATTATTTGCCTGAATAATTAAGGTCTTAAAGGGCTTCACATCATGAGGAAAAAGCGAATTTCCTGCTACAATGGAATAGCTTCCTGCAGCCATCTATCTCATTTTCCTCACTTCTGGTACATCCTGGARAATGAAAATGGTCCAAGGAATTTGTGGGATAAGCCAAGRAAAATGMAATGGYACATCTTGGTACMTCYTGGAGAATGAAAATGGYCCAAGGAATTTTGKTGTRAGTTCYTATCTCTAGCCAAGTCTCAAAACTAACTTGGACGTTCAGTGAAATTAAGGCTTTTAAGACCATTCCCATAATTTTTGTACTCATCACATACAGCTTTRACACCTTGCAAAAACAGGGATTTAACTTAATGTTCACTCTAAGAAAGCAAAGGTCATCGCAAAGCCACACCAAATAGTCATTAACATTTCTCTGCTTCTGAAGATTCAAGCCACCAGCAATTCAGTTTAATTCATGCCCAYGAGGAGACTAAAGTGCTCCAAATAAATGACATTAATACAGCTGCTGTGGAGGGCATGGCTGGCCTCCATGGGAAGCCAGTTAGGCAGAGTAATCCCTCATCCTGCTCTGCTGCTCACCCCTCGCAGCCGCRGCTCTCTGATGAAAGTGCTGTTAAATATGGAAACCGCAAGCTGTGAGGAAGTGAAACTCAGCAGAGCTGGCACATCCAGAGAAATGTCACTTGCCCTGTGTGAGTGGAATCTGACAGCTCTGTGCATCTTTCCCAGTCAGCTGAGTCCTCAGCAAGAGAAGTCCCCGTGATGCTCAGTTCRACACAGGCACAAAATGTGGTCAAAGTGATGCCTTAGGACTTCAGCTTCTCTATTTTCCAYGTCTCTGTAACTCTGTGATTCTTCAGTGTTTAACTCCAGACTCCACAGACAGTGCTGAGCTCCTGCTCTCCCATTTTTACACAAAACAATTCCTCTGCAGCCCCAAACTCAAGGACACCTCCCTGTGCCAAGCCCCAAGAGACGGAAACAACAGAGAATTGGGGGGAGCCAACTTGGAGTSAATGACTGCATTGGCTGCAGCTGCAATTGGAGGATTCAGCCCCGATGTGCAAATGGACAAAAGTGAGAAAGTGTGAAAAACCCGTGTCCTATCATCCATTTCGGGATGTAGCCCCTGGGTGGGCTGGGACTGCCCTAAATGCACCTGAATGCCCTTCAACAAATAGAACTGCTTTTTATTCTCTTAATTGGTCCAGCCTCCGTTTTAGATCAGCCAAATTTTAGGCATCAAGAGACAAGGAGCAAATATCTTGGAGCACCAGCTGGGTGCAATCACGTGCCCAARCCCATGCAAATTCCAGTTTTCTCTTCATCAAACTCAGCTCTTCCTCTCTGGCAGAACCATGTGAAGTGGTCAGACTGTGCTCGTGGGCAGCAATATTAACACCAAGGTGTTATTATAGCTCCCTGATTATTTTTCCCAACAAAGAAGGGCTGTCAAAGCAGTTCTGATGCACAGCAGCCAGCTCGTGTCCCCTGCTGACCACACGTGGTCAGTGTGTCCTGTCAGATGTCCCCTCCACCGATGGCAGCAGGGGACGGGGATGGGGGGCTGCTCCAAACTCCCTCCAGCTGCACTCAGGAGGCACCAGGAGAAATGAAAGGCAGGAACCTTAAAGGAGCACTGCCAGTTTCAGTCCTTTTCTCGTTCAAGACTCAGATGAGACTGTTTTTCAGGGCATTGATCATTCCTGTTCAGGACAGAAACCTGCACATGGGGGCACATCTTTCCCCTCTACTCCCACTTGGATGTTCTTGTGATGCCAAAGCAATGTCTGAACAAYAAGGGGTGGAAATCCCAAAACTTTTGGGTTTAGCTACTCTCCCTGAGAAAAAAAATCATGAAAGTTACCCAGCACAGTAAAATCAGCCAAAAAATATGAGTTCTTCCCCATCTCCTCAGCAGCTAGTTAAAAAATTAATGTCTTTCTGCTTACACTGAGGAAAGTATTTGTTTAGAACTAAAACRAATCCCMCAAGTCTTAATGTRAGTCCCATTTTCAGCTCTYTCTTTRTGAGTTTCTGGGGGGCTGAACAGGYTCAATTTACATTAAGAGAAAAGTGTGAGTAAGGCACCTCGCTACACACCGCAGGAGTTGGTTGAAGAATCCATTTATGCCCAACYCAGAGCAGGAACCAGCCCAAAATGAAGCTGCATTAAACCAGGGACTCATCTGATGTAACTGCTGGGGAAATTGCACACACAGACAGATGTCCCAGGAAGATCCTCCCTGTGAGAGGGGAGAACCCAGCACAGATACCCAGAGTTGAGGCCGATTCACTTCATGCCAAAAGATGCTGCAATTCAGTTGCTTTTCTTTTTTTCCCCTTCCTTTGAAATGTGAACAGCTTGGAATTTCTTTAAGTAACACCCTTCACAGGAGCAACCCCACATTTCCCCATCAGAAAAGTGGCAGAGGTGTTTCTCTGAGTTTCCTCACACCCCAAATCCTGAGCAGTGTTTTTTTTTACCTGCACAGGGGCTGACTGCAAAGCCCACCCTCCTCTGGGCTCTGTCAAAGATGACATAAAATCCTTCCATGACTGTGGCCCCGATGACCAGAGCGTTCGTGGAGGAGGAGATGCCAAACCTGTAGCACTGCAAATTATCTCCTATCACGAGGATGGGTTGAATATAAAGCTGTTAAAAAGAAAATTTAAAAAAGTAATTAAAAAAAAAAAAAAGAAAAGAAGAAGCCAGAGTGTAAAAAGCAACACCACACAGCAGGTAGAAGTTCAGACTTTTTCGTTTTTATAGTTCAAGCACGCAAATTCCACTGGAAATAGAGAATGGATAGGGGCAAACAGATTTCTGTAAATGATTTAAAACTGGTCAAAGCTTACAGGCAGGTAAGAGGCAAAGCTCTTGGATTCTGAGATATATTTGAAAACAGTCACTACGTGCAGGTCAACAGCAAATTTTGAAGATTCTCACTTTTTATCATGTTTTCCATAAGGGGAGGATGGCTGAGGAAGAACTTGGGATATGAACACAAATTAGAGAATAATTTTTTTATTAAAACAATTAGGATGGAGTTGATTCAGAGAGCATCCAGTGTCAGCTTAAAGCCTCTAGATTTTATGAATTCAAGTYACATTTCATCCCTTGTGTCCTCGGGGAAGATGAATGATTGCCAAGCTACCTGATCAATACAGAAAAAGCTTATCATAAGGCTTTACTATATTTCAAGTTAAAATGTACTTAATAGGTTCATTCTTCCCTTCRCTCCTGCCTGTCCCCTGAGGTAAAAGAAAGTATTAGGAATGTTAGAAGATACCAGCCTGGACTGCACATTTCAGGAATTTCACATTTTTTATACTGGGAAGAGAAGCCTGAGAAGAAAAATAAAAGTGGCACATTATATTCTAAAAACTGGGATGGAATATTAATAAAAAATCAACCAAGCAAGTTACAGAGACTGGTGAAGAGCTYACAAAGGGTCATTGCCAAGATTTTCATATTCAGAAGAAGTGCTCCAACTCAAAATGCCACGAGAAACAAATCAATTCCCTCCCCAAAATGGGAAGATCAAAACGAGCAGAGACATTCTGTATTGACATCTGATGCAGCCAAAGCTCATGAAAACAAAACAAAAACTCCCCTGGTGTTCCTGACAAATTGAAAAAAAAAAAATCCAACTACTGCACTTAGAGGGAAACTGTGCTTTGTGCTTTCCTGTTTTGCTTTTACRTTTGACAATTTTGTTATTTTCCCTATTTGAAAACTGATTTTTAAAATTTGATTTAAAAAAGGTTTCCCTTGCATGCAGTAAGCCAGTTTCCTATTACTGCTAAAAATAGCTCCTATTTTTTAAGAGCTTTACAGTTTGCTTTATACTAGTAAAAATAAATACACAGATGAATAAACAAAGAAGGCTGAGACCTGTGGTAGGATAGAGATCCGAAACGACCTACTGGAGTTCTCATCCCTCAGGTAAATGGAGAGTTTGGGAAAYAAGGACCAGGGCTTTTCAGCTCTATCCCAGCATGCAAGCTGTGAACCAGTCCAGAAACCAGAAGAGAATTCTTGTATCTGCAAAACAAACCAGCCAAACACAATTTTTTTTACAGATTACATTCATTTTGATAAATTTTTGTAAATGATCACTGCCACTTCTTTTGTTCCCATGAAGAAATTCAAGCATGAACACAAACCTGAGCTGCTTCTTTAAGGATCAGACCAAAAACCCAAACTCCAGCAGGCAAATTGAGGTGTGTCACACCCCACCATGGTTGGAGAAGAGGGAAGGGGCAAAAGCCAAGTTGAGCTCTGCCTTCCCTCCCATTTGTGTCTCACAATTTCCACTGCTGCAGTGAACACGTGGGGCCTCTCAGAGCAATCAGCACCACAGAGCCAAAACATCCCTGGGGTTCCACTGCCTCTCTACCTCTCTTGAGTAACCACAAACTTCTAAACCAATGTTTTGTAGTGGCATTTTACATTTGAAAAAAGCCACAAACCAAAATCCAAAGCACATGAATGTATAATGATGTCATCCCCCCTCCCCASGCACCTACAGCCTCTCACTCAGCTGGAGAGCTTTGAAGCCAAGGGCTAAGCCAAAAATCTCCTGGCATCTCAGGGGATTGAGGTTTGCTGTAGCCAATGGATAGAAACACATCCCTCTGTCTCTTTAGCTGCCCTGTCACTCCCTACCAGTGCAACCTGACAGGTTTTTGGAATAAGGTTGATTTAAAGTGCTTTTTAATATATCCATGGAACTAACAAAACAAAAAGCAAACTCCTACAGAGCTTGTTTGGCTAAGACAAACATCTTGCTCAATGTTCCTGCTCCCTGAAGCTGACCTGCTGCCAGACCTGAGGAAAAAATTTCCTTGTTTTACTGCATTGCTTTGAGCTGGTTCTTGTTTCCCCACGAAGCAGCATTCAAGGGAGGAGCTCGTTCTGAGGCTCTACAGCCAAAACCTCCCATTTGGGTGAATGAAAAGGTGGAATCCTCTGCCCTCTCCTCATTTGTGTTTATCTGTGATATTGATTATTCAGCAAGCATCAGCTCATTCGTTAATATTTGGCATTTTACAGGTGACAGGCGTTCACCTCTCCCCACACACCTGCCAAAGACTGCATATTTCCAGTGCTCATCTCTGTTCTTGGGCCAACAAGCACAAACTCATGGAAACAAGGAGATTTACCAGCACAAATAGGATTTTTACCCTTAATCTTCAATACATGCTAAAATGCACCCTTGGCACGGGGCAGAACACTCTTCCCTCACAGCGAAGTMCCAGTCCAGACCTGCTGAGAAATACAGCTCTCCTCTCTTTCTGTTTTGTCTTGGACAGCAGATCTGAGAAAAAACTGCAAGATACCACCCAGACAGGTCAGGCCAAGCCTATCATGGGCTCTGTTTTAAGCACCTACTTTAATTTCCCAGAAAGGCTGCTTTAATGCACTGCATTTCTTTCCCTCCCTTTTGCAYGCTGCAGCAATGCACTGGGGAGTTTTGAGTGCATGACACCTAAAAGGCTGTTAAATAAAGATTTTAAGATTATTTGAGCCTTCCTTTGTCCAGCTTGTTAACTTAGCACTGTATAAATGCTGTCCTGACCCCAGCTCAGTGAGGTGGAGGTGCCACCCCTCCCTGGTTTATGCCTGCCCATCTGCCAAAATCAACACCAAACTGCATTTTAACAGCTGCTCCCTGAAAGACTTCAGTCCAAGTARGTGAGGTTTAAAACCCATCTGCACCACTGAAGAGCATCAAGCTCACTGCCTTGTTCGTTAAGGGAGCCAAGTGAAGGAATGTGTCACACACAGCACACCTGGGGGGGAAATAACACCAGTCTGGGATCTCATTACAAGCTGTGAGGAGCAAGAACTTGTTAACCTGGCTCAGAAAAGTGTGTCTGACTAGAGCAGATGATTTTTTTTCAGTGGCACGTCTCCTGCCAGAAGCTCAGAGCACTGTGAGTATGGTTGTGATGCCGCAGTACAATTGGTGAAATTACCCATTTTCCTGACATTGCTCCTCCACAGCTGGAATCCCATCCTGGCTTYCTGTAACCACTTGCTTATTTAGCAGACTATCTCCTTTGTTTAGAGCAGTGAAAGTAAATTTTGGGGTGTGTGGAAGGAAGGGGTACAATAACAAGGTCCTTGAGATTAAAAACTGAAAAAAAAGTTACTTTATGCATTTTTAATAAGCCGAGCAAGCGAGTGGTTCCCATCTAATACCTCATCAATCTGTCCACTGTTTCCTTGTCAGTTCAAATGTCCTGACCAGCATCAGAGAGGAGTGTGRACCACTGTGACCCCCTTCCAGGAGGATTCCTTATCCACAGGGTGACCTTACAAGAGCCCTTGGGGTGGCCCCTTTCAATTCCACCCCCATGGACTGAAATTGTTCCAGTTGACACTTGAGTGCTGTGCAAGGAGAAGAACTCGTAACTGGTACATTTATTTCAGCTACTGGACATCTGCAGGCACTGAAGAACACTTCATGCCAGATCTCTGCTCTCAATCAAGTAGGAAAAGGATCTCAATCTTGAATTATCAGCACACAGGCAAATACTCTGTYTCTGGGGCAGCTGCTTTCTGTGTTTGCTGTGATTGGCATCAACAACCACTGTGAATCCACGACAAAAATATCAAGTTTGTTCCCACTGAAATAGCTGGTATTTATTCTTCCTCTTTAACCTTCTTGGTGCTGCTCCTTGTATTGAACGAAAATTTATGAATAGTTTTTATTAACYAGAAAATGCTGCTTCAGCCACTCTGCACACAGAGAACTCCACCATCCCCGTGCCCTACTTCTAAAGCCCACTCTATTTCCAAAGAAAGATGCTTTTGAACATAAATAATTCAATAATGAAGGTCAAAAGCAGCTTTATTGATATGAATAATCCTAATGAATGGCATTTATTCCAGACAGCAGCATGAATTATGCTTGGAAAGGAACTGCTTGCAGCAGCAGGTTCTCCTACTTTATAAACACTCTGTTTTGAATGAAAAGACCGATTTTTGCACTCCTAATGCTTTGAACCAGAGCAACAGGGATTATGTCYGTGTTTCTGAAATGCTTAGAATAAAATACCCTGTGTCTGCCCTATTTCTGATGCATTTCCATACACACACTTCTTGCCTGCACTTAGCCCCCCTTTCCCTTTTTCACCTCTTCCTTCCCATCAAAGGCCATCAGTCATTTCTCACTTATCAACAGGGAGAGGCCAGGGAAGATTCTGTTCCCCTCAGGTGAAAAACCCACGAGTTGCAAGGCAAGCAAGCAGCAGAGATCACTGCTTTCGAATCCCCTGTGATCATTTCAAAGGCATTTTTCACTTTTAAAAATTTTTATTGGCATTTTCTTACCAGGGACGTGCGAGCTATTGCCTGCACCACAGCATTGAAGACTTTTTCTGGCAGCCGAAGGAGCGTGGTCCCGCTGTCCACTATGGCTTTATCAGCATTGTACTGGGGAGGGGAGAGGAAAAAAAAAGAGAAATTGCACATTGCAGTTACTGTAACGTGGATCCCACTGCCTCYTGACCAGAACAAAGCTGCTCCTTCTTGGCAGCTGCCTTCCCACAACTGCATGTCACACTCTCAGCAGCTCTCTCCAGCTGATAGCTCTGGTTCAAATGAAATCTGAGAGCAAAAAAAGCCAGATACCATCAGCCTAGACACCAGAGAGGGTTTATCTGCACAGTCAGGAAATTACTGTGTCACCACAGCTGATGCAAATGGTCAAACTGCTGTGAAAAAGTGAAGGCTGGTTCCTCTGAGAGGGGGCAAAAGCACTTTCATGTTGAGTAGAGAGGTGCTAAACATCCTGATGCATTTTACACACACATCCAAGCCCTGAATTTGTCTCTGCTGTCATGGGTACAWCTCTAATTTAAACACAGCAGCCTGTTTATGGCTAGAATATCTAATTTAAGGACAGAAAAAAATTAGGCCTTATTAGATATTGGTACTAACTTAGGGGTACAAATGCCACACTTTTCTCTSTCGACTGCTAAAACCCACTAAAATGCAAAAAAAGCAAGTACAAAGAAACTCAAAGTTTCAGTCTTGCAGCCTTAAAACCTGCCCTCCCCCCCCCCAAGCAAACAGCTCTCTTCTTATTAAAACTTCAACCCTCAAATTCAGAGATTTTGGCAAACTTCAGATATACTACACAAAGTACAAACTTTTTAAATAGTAAATCTTTTTTTCATGCACTTCTTAAAAACTATGATTAATTATGGGGGAAAAAAAAGGCAAGTAGCAGTGACAGCAATTTGCATTAACTGCTTTTGCTGCCAGCTTCGGCAGCAGGATTAATATAACTGAACTGTGACATGTTTATGGCATAATCATAAGACACAAGATGATATACAGCCTAAGCTACTTAGGAAGAGGTCAAACAGCAAGKGAATTTAAAATGCACTGGTTTAGATGTTATCAAGCCACATGGAGTCCCTTTAGCRCAGTGACAAAAATAAAACCCACCRAAAAAACAAATAAAAWGTAACTTTGAGAGTWATTTCTGYRTTTTATTTCTGCATTTCTTTTTGAAAGAGCTGCTGTAGGCTGCYGTGCAGAGCTGACAGAAAAGCAAACAGGAAACCATTTATTACACACTCGGAAATACTTCTGAAGAGGGCAGAGAAACACCAAAGCATTTTGGAGCYCATTTTAACAGGTTTGTGCCACAAAATACACAATCACTGGCATCCTGGAATGTCACCCTCTGGAAAAAGTAGTTCAGAGGGACGACCATTGACACAAATCTGTGCAAAAATCTGGGAGCAGCAGGATTGCTCACGCTGGGACTGAGTAGTTAGTTGTGCTTCCTTGGCTTTTCTGGTTAATTTTTACCAGWGCAAAGTGCATTTTTGGCAGCTCAGGACTTCCCCCAGCCCCGGCTGCCAGGCTCAGGGCCACAGCTGTGGTGGAGCTCTGGACAGATTCCCAGCATTGAAGCAAGGGGACAGCTTTTCCCTGGCAAGGAAAGCAGCAGCTTCTGGTGAAGGCTGCAAAAAAAAAATGTTCCATTTCCTAGAAAACAMCCGAGAGGAGAGAGGGCACGTAGTTCCTCATCCCACGGTGAATCACGCATCCTCTGCAAGCTCCCAACCAGCCAGACTTTAATTTGTACTACTCCTGTTGTGCTGCTCTTGCTCTAAATTTCTCTGGGAAGGTCTCCTTTGATCCAGGAAGGTTTGATCCTCCTGCACCAGTGAAAGCAACYCCTGGCTCAGAAAAGAGCAACAATTACAGGAAACTTTCCTAACGCACCACTAAATTTTTCAGTAAGTTGTTTTCTGGCAGCAGTTCGTGTTAAACCACCCAATGGCTCCCCTTCAAAAACATGTTGACTGTTTTTTAAAGCAAGAGAGAAAAGCAAACATTTGTGTTTGTTAAAGGACCAGTGGTTTTGCTTTCCCAACAGCACAACAGAGAAAGGCATTTAAATAGACCTKGTTTTGCTTATTAAGTTGAAAGATGCTGTGACTAATTTTAAATAATTTATATGGCAATATAACTTCAATATTTTGCATGGAAATATACTATATGCCCGTGTAATATTTAAATCATAATTTTCACTTAATTTATATGAGCTGTAAAAACTTTAAACTTATCACATCCCATTGATATCCAACTAAGAGAATGAGAGTAAAACGAAATTCAGATTTCTAAAGAAATTGGGGCATAAAAATTACAGAACTAAAATCAAAACATGAATGGCAACAAGCAAGAGTAAGAAAGAGATAAAACACACATATACACACATATCCTTCACAAAAAAAAAAAAAAAAAAAA